TTTACCATTACATGTTATAGATATTTCAATATTTCAAGAAAATTAAACTTGAAAAAATGTGTTATGATCTTTAGGGGTATTTTTATAGCTAAAAAGAGTTTATAGATGACAAAATAAATTCCTGTAATTAATGACGGAAACTCGATTTCTTTTGTTTCCTATAATGAACTTTTCTAAACAAATATTCAATAATAATTTCGCTTTCATTGTTCAAAAAAGTTAAAATTCTGGTATCATTATGATAAGATTTATGTAATAAGTTATTCTGTGTAGGGTATAAATTTGAAACAACTCTTTTCTAGAACTTTATGGCATTTCATAAATTTTACCATCTGCTTTCGCTTGTATCTATGACCATGTTTTTTTTTGCTTGTTGGTTGTTGGTTGTGAGTTGTATCTTTTGGTACCTCGACCTTTCTTGTTAAGGACGTATCTTTTTGTTATTCATAAAAACATATTATATAAAAATCACAAACATATCCTTAATGTAACAATCATGTTTCAAAACATGATTAGACTCTTAATGTTTTTTATATGTTGTTTCAAGTAATTAAATTTACTTATATACCAGTATATCTGTAGTATTTCAATACTTAATGCCTTTGAATAATAGTAATAACCAGCCCTTTATGTTTAAATTCATCAAGTCTTAAGTTTATTATTACAATGGAATACCCATATTTGTAGCTTGCATTAAAGAAACATTTTCAGCAAGTGAACAAAGTTATTTAATCAAAATCTAGAGTTACTGAAAGAGGAGAACTTGCTCTACTGTTATTATTAATTATAATTAAAGTATAATTAAAGTAGCTATTTACTGAGTTTGAAGTTTCATACAGAATGTTATTAGAGAAAAATTGCGACTGAGGTCAATGAAAACCGATACTAAATCCTTTGACTTTCATAAAATGAAACCAAAATCTCAAATATCAAATCAGCATTTCCCATTAAAGTAATAAACATATGAAACACGCGAAAAATGAGACATAAAATTTTGCTCAAATAGAATTACTAAACTCTGTGTACTAAATAGGTTCTTGTGTGTTTAACCGAAAATGTCATATTATAAAATAGTCATCAGGATATTAAATAGGGTCATCTGACCATATTGCGTCAATGTGACACGTTAGTGCATGAAATGCAACGTATGTTATATCGCAGATTGATTTGTTTTAGAAAAATCTGGATAAAATGTGATCCCTTGGAAGCATTAATCTCAACAAAAATACATGAAAATTGCAGACTCGGTTTGAAAGTGTCTGTATATGAGGGATAATGAAAAGATGCAACATCCCCCACGCCCCTTGTATCAAATGAGTTTTGAATATACATGTATTATTTTCTCAAAATACATTGATACTTAACACCAGCACATTACAAAAGTTGTTTAATCTAGATTAAAACGAAAGTCTAAACAAATTATTTTCATTTAAAGTTAAGAAATACTTTCTTACTGAATAATAACCACCTTAGTTTTATGTAAACAAGATGTATTTCACTGACTTAAGTAGTAACGACAACAATTTTAATTGTTGTAAATCGCTAGGCGCATGGGTTCAAACCCCGTCTTACCTTATAGCTTCCTACACAGTCGAACTAAGTCTGTATAAATCAATTGTAAATCTATATAAGTTTAAATTTGCAACTGTTTATAATATGTTGTTGATAAAACAAAACCTCAATAATTACCTTTGAAAAACATAACACATAAAGATAATATGTTCCAAAATATTTAATTCATTAAACGTTATCAGTGAAATATTGGTATTGTAGATTATGTACTTGATGATAAACTTCCGGACATAATATTGATTCTGTCATTGCTCTACTGTAAAACCTACAGAAATATGGAAGCATATCATTTATTCATAAGAAACAGACGACGTTAGTGAGATACAAAGTCTAATGAAAAACATAAAATGGCAGTAACTACACAGAAATTGATATTACTTATATTTTATACATTATAAATCATTTATCGCTGACACGGTATCTAATTATTTATCGCATGTTCGTCATAAAAGATAGGGCCATGTCTGAAGAATAGATATGGGTAATTTTCAAATGTCACTTCAAAAACACACTTATTTGTCAGCTTTTTTTTTTACTGAAAACAGTTTGAACATATATAACATCGTTATCTCAGGATCAAAACTTATTTACTGCACAGACAAACAACTGGCTTTGTCGCCTCTTTCATTAAACACAATTTGAATTTAGGCAAAAAATATTAAGTGTGATTCTCATAAGTAAAATCCATTGACTAACATGCATTTCGAGTAAATCTTTCCTAAAGTAAGGAACGTTTAGCTTCTAAAGTGAACTATTATCAATATGATACCTAAACCTAAGTAACTCAATTTCTTTCTATATTTTGTTCACTTTTATTTTGACCCAACGCTTTGTAATTTTGATCATTTTACTACCAAACTTAACTAGATTTTGCACTTAAGTTCGTAATGTACAAGAAATGCCGCCTCTTTACATCGGTAAAGAGCAAATGTTCTTTTGAAAACGCGTAAGAATCTCATTGAATTTCTCACAGGGTCATTGAAAATTCGTACGTCCTTATCTTAAATAAAATGAATTTCCTTTCAGGAACGCAGCCTTGAATAAATCTGTATGAAAACAATTACGTGGAAGTGTCATTCATCCTAAGATTTTAAGACCCCCTTTTAATATTATCAATCTTCCTAATCAGGAAAGATCAGTGATTTTTTGACAGGTGGCGTCTCATTATTGCGAGGTTAAACGGATTTATTAAGTCATTGATCTTCATTAGCCGTTTCGTGAATTGAAGGAATAGAAGGACGATACCATTACAATAGAAGCATTGTTTAGATTTTCGTGTAGTACAATTTATAGGCTAAAACACATTTTATGAAAAGTGTTGAGTACTACCATTCAGAATATTGAAGTACAAGTTAAGTATCGGTTGCATTGAAGAGGAGGACCGATTGCGACAACTTTAATAGCGTAATACATACTGTATAAATATGTATCTTGTATATAAATAACGCTATAATGTGCTGTCAATAAATGTTCTTGCTATATGTCAATGAACGAACCTCTAAGAGGTATAATAGTTTCTTTGGTTTATTTTGTTATCAATGACATCAAGCGTATATTTAAATATTAGAGTTCAAGATACTATCAAAGATAGTCAAATGTATAAAGGTCTGATGCAATTCAATAGATTCTGAGTATAAAATATTTAAAACAAATATGAGGAAACTTTTAAATTCGCTGATCAATTATATTTAAAAAAGATACCCTCAGCACAAATTCAATAGGGGAATATTTTTTTCTTGAAATTGACAAAATGTGAAATTTATTTATATCCTGGTAACAAAAAGATAGAGGTAATTTAAAGGGGTAATTAAGGATTATTTCTAAAATAGGACAGATTAAAATAGGTTTGACGCCATTATTATTATAAACCCACAATTTTGTCTGTAGTAGCTGTTTGATAACCAAATTTATTATGGAATGGTGTATAAAGTAATTTTTCTGCTGTCTTAAATGACAATTCTTTGTATGAAAGGTTTGAATCACCATGCCTAAAAGAGTTTATACCAGCTTCAATTATGAAATGGAAACTAAAAACAAAGCCCAATGCTCATAAGTCCACTTTATTTTTGATTGCGACTGAGATGTTGCACTTATTCTTCATTATCCTTCATGTACATATTCAATCAAACCGAGTCTGCAATTTTCATGTAATTGTGTTGTGATTAATGCTTCTGGGGGATCCCTTTTCCCAGATTTTTATACTTTACAACAGCAGGTGTCAAGTGCCGTATGGCAACTTTAAAAAGTTGCCCTGTACTTTACTTCAGTGTTGCTATATTGTTCTGGTCCTCCAGTGTCCTCCGGGATCATTGATTTCACACTTTTAAGTATTGAAAATTGAGTACTTGTGCTAGGGCGCGTGAGGGATGTTGCACTTATGCGTTATTCCTCATGTGCGGACACACCAAATCAAATTAAATCTGCAATTTTCATGTAAATTTGTTGGGCTTTATGCTACCGATGGGATCACACTTCAACCAGATTTTTGTGCTCAACGTCTCTAACCAAGGTTTGAGTGGTTATCAATTATGTTTTAGCTCTTAAATTTTTCGTCTAGTGCTATAGCAAAATACATGTATACGTGTACGGTAAATAATTATATTTCCTGGAATGTTTGAAGAGCTGCACAAACAAAAGTATAAACAATCTAACAATTTAAAAGTGTATTGTCATCTAGTAATATGTAGACATTTACATAACATTATCCATGCACATGGGCGACTGTAGCTTTTTCTAGTGCCTAAGACGACAGCGAAACTCTGGAAACAACTCTGTGGCAGCATATAAAATTATACTTAAATACAATAAATGTCTTTTTAAGACCACCACAAATCATAATTACGTACCTAATATTTCTGATCAAACATGTATAAAAAGTAACTCTTAAAATAACAAGTATCAAATGAATGTGTAACTTTTAAATATTTGTTTGTAATGATGAATATGAATAATATTAACAGTGTGAGAGACAAACATTTAGATATTTTTATCAAAATATCAATCTTTAAGGTAAGTATATAAAGAACGAAATAGCGGATATCACCGTGTTGGCATTTTTTCATTCAAAACCTGTTTTAAAGTGTACATTTACCTTTGCTAGATTGGCCGAAAGTCTCGATGCATTTATTTTCCAATAATTACAACAAAATATTTTCTGTGAATGATTTATCCTCTCAAAATTTTAACAAAGGGAGTTGCTAGAGAGAAAACAAAAACATACTAATATTATTATATGTTCCCAAAAACCTCTCTGATTGTCGATGAACTGATTGTTGTTAAGTAAGGTGTTTTGATAGCCATTAGTTAACATCGAACAATACAATACGAAACACGTCACAATTTTCTGACCAATCGTTAATTAAACAATAGCACAAATACGCAAAGGAATCCCATGATGGCATTTATGTCTAAAAGACATAACCTTTCTAACAGACATACGCTTTAAATAAGCATGGCCAATGTGTGTATGGAGTACCTTATCATATTATTTGTTATAATTGGATCTTTAAACAATGGTAATTATAAAATATATATACTCTTTACCCTTATAGAAGTTTTAAGATTTTTTGAAGAGTTTTTTTACATCATTTATTTATAAATGTGTTGATGTCATTAAGTCGCAACATTAAATAAAATATTTCCTTGATGCTGCTTGTGTTCTGATATTTTAAAACCGAGGCTTTACATAACATTGCAAAAAAAAATTTAAATGCAAAAAGAAAATTAAAAGTGTTTCTATTCCGATTACATACGGTTGACATTACATGATTTTGACATTAAGATCATATAAGGAAACAAAACACTGATATGATATAACTTGACCTTATATTTGTTTGAAGCTTCGTTAGTCTTAAATTACATGACATACATGTAGTCTGATATTTATTTCATTTTTTAAATACATTTTGATACTTTTACAGAGAGTAACTTTTGCTAAATTGTGTTTATATAGTATAAGAATGTCGATGTGGTAAATATAGATTTGACTTTTATCAGTTAGGATAAATTTTTGATTGATTATTTGATACATTTTACAGTTTGCTCTGAACAGTGGTCATATTTCCATGATGGTTGTCAGACGCCGTACGGAAGAATTGGTTTGCTGTACAATCTATTTCTGTCACACTGCACAGCCGAGTGCAACGCTAATACAAAATGCACGGTGTTCGGATATTCATCTTCGGACAAAATGTGCTTGCTGTTCGACGAAACGTTTTCCATAGCCAACAGTGAATGTTCGTTAAAGACGGTCATGTTCTATAAAGTCGGCAATTTCTCCGGAGGTCCTAAACCCGGTACACAGTTTTAAGATGTATTGTAATTAATTTTGAAACATGTTACATGTCGAATAGAATTAAAACAAATTATTTCTGGTTATAATTTTAGAAAAAAATGTTGAGTTCGATGGCATTATTGTGAAAAAAATAAAAAATCTGGAAACAAAGTGATTTTTTAAAAAAGATTTGGGTTTAATAAATGTTTAAGACGTAAATACTGGTAAACTGTAAAGAATGTGATGTTATCCATTTTAATTATGCTTATATATTTATAAAAAAATAAAAAAAACACCGGGAATGATTTACTAAGATTCTTATACATCACTTTGGCACCAACACACAATGTTTTTTCGTGAAAATATTTAAATGACAAGCTTATTTCACATAACTATAACTTTCCACTTAATACATGCTTGCGTATTATTATAGCTGACTGTGGTAATGCAACTGATTATACCTACGTGACGTCATTAAATAAATGTATACGCTACAAATCCTCAAACAGACTCTCATGGAACGATGCGAAGGAAGATTGTGAAAAGGAAGGGACTCATCTCATTTACGTGAAAACAAAGGCGGTACTCGATTACATCCAGGGCTTTCTAGAAACAGGTGGGTGTTTTTGTATTCACATATATCTTTGCAAGCTTTAATAATAATAAAATTAAGCACAGTTTATAAATATGACTATGTTTCAGTCTTGATTGGGAAACAAACTGCGTTTAAATTTTAACTAAAGTTTTTTTTTTCAATTCTGATTACAGTACGTCGACAAGTATCACTGACACATAATGAATCTTCAACTTAATGACGACTTGTCAAGAAACACGAAATAAACAAAAAGAAAACAAGCACTTTAATTTATTTTTCGCATGCAATAATCATTTTTCGGACTTTGTTTGATTAAATCTTTATTAAAGCAAATATACGAAGCAAATTGTTTTTTTATTATTGATTAATTATGTGTTGTTTTTTCCAGTTAACTCAAAATACTGGATTGGCGGTAAGCAGTCGGCGGTTGGTTCAAATAAATTTGAGTGGTTGTCTGGGGAAACAATAGATGTGTCAAATGGAGGTAATCTCTGGCTAGAAGGACGACCAGCGGTGGACAGTCCAACTGATAATTATTGTATTGAGACAAAAACTTCAAGTGATAGAAAGTCATTCGGACTTTATGAAAAGCCATGTACACATAGTCATAGGTTTTTCTGCGAGTTAGACATTCTGTAAAAGATTTTTTTATTTAAATATCTACGAAAAGAATAGAAAAAGGTATTTTTATTTTCCCGATTTATCTAATTTAAGAATGTCCGTTGTTATCAATACATGTTGAAGAAAGGAAATAGTTTTATAAATTTACCGTTTTAAGTCGGTTTATATTCAGTCATGTGTATATCTCATTGTTAGTTTCAAACGCGTATATTTCACTTCCAGTTATATGCATATATTTCATTGTGTGCACATATGCATACGGGTATACGTCTTCAAAGGTAAAAATATTTATATTGCAATATTCCAGAGTAACAATACATTACGAGTTTGGTGATGTGACGTATTTTGTTTATACAGTATATATGGCTTAAAAACATCGGTACAAATAGTAAAATATACAATTTAAAACGTTCAAGCGCTAAGATTGTGGTCATTTCTTGTCGTTGAATTTTAATCATCTGCAAGGAGTCAATCATAATGTTTGTGGCGAAAATATAGTCAATTTTAATAATCCTGAAATTCAAAGATGTTGTCAGTCAACATAAAGGCTTCAAATATTTATATTTTAAAAACTATCAAATTTGATTGAGAAAAATTTTTTCAACGTTTCAGTTTAATACAATTGCTTCAAATAATAAGTCATGAGAACATTTTTACATAAGGATATAAATCGTTATATTTCTTTCGTCTTAGGAGTAGGTGATCGGTCACCTTTGTGAAAACAAATCCATGAATAATTTGCAAAACAAATTCACTACAAGTCCTGAAGGTCATACCACAATTCAACAAATACTAGTTTAATACCACTGATATCCCTCTTCCTCAATAACAACGTAACTCATTGCTGAGAATCTTAGCTTTCTGTGTTGGCTTGTACAAGATGTTTATAATTACGAATCTTCTATGTTCGGAAGGTTCCTTGTGTAGAATTATATGTCAAATCCGATAAAAATAAACATTGCATATTACTGTACATGTCGAGCTTCAAATCTGATCAATGAAAGATTCATTTAACATAGATATGAAAACTAAATTAATGTTTTGTAAAGTGGAAATGCGTTTTTGAACATTCAGACATTCGTGCGCTTTCACTTTTTATGAAAGACATACTGTTTTTTTTTTTCTCTAGAAGCAATCTGTGTTTATGTCACTAACTGAATGAGCGGGGTCTACACATTATTCCTAAAAAAAATATAATATTTAAAAAAAATAATTAGGAAATACCACCTGAACCGCCTTTTTTATGGTTTACGTCACAAAAAGTAAATTGATATAGCCAACCTGCGATTTTATAGCAGTGCGTTTACACAATGACAGTACTTATAACAGTACAAATAACAAAACAAGTTAACCATTTTGTCTCGGATGAAATTTTCGTTTTACCACCCTCAAGTGGTGTGATTTTTATATAGAAAATAATATAAAAACATACATCGCTTCAGTTACTGACAACAATTCGTTAAATGTCACTGTTTTTAGAATGTTACCGAGAAGAAAAAGAAACATTTAAAAAATATATTAATAAAGACTTGTTCCATAAATGTTTTTTATCACATATCCGTGTCGTTTTTTGCGACTCCTACAATATGGTATTACACGGTCGTGCATATATTTTGACGTGACGTCATTTGCGTTATATAAACATAGCGTTAAGACGCGCAAAAATTAGCGTTATACTATAGACGCAACAATGAAGAATTGTTCTTTTTACTTCAAACGGTCTTTATTTTTGGTATATGATTAATAGAATATTTCATTCGTGTAAGTTCATTTTTGAATTTACTGAAGTCGTTGAATAAAATAATATTATGCAACTATTTCAATAAGCACTGTATTTAACTTACACTTATCAAATATCTTCTCTCTCTCTCTCTCTCTCTCTCTCTCTCTCTCTCTCTCTCTCTCTATATATATATATATATATATATATATATATATATATATATATATATATATATATATATATATATATATATATATATATATATATATATAATATATATATATATATATATATATATATATATATATATATATATAACAGCCATCAATGTAACATTGTGAATAGTTTATTTCTGTCATTGCTTTGCTGTAAAACCTACAACATACCATTTATTCATAACAAACAGACGACTTAAGTGAGATGGAAAGTCTAATAAAAAAAACCACAAAATGACAGTAATTATATAGCCAATAATAAAAACTATATTTTATTAAACATCATAAATCATTTATCACTGAGACGATATAAAACAAAATAGTGCATGATGGTCATAAAACATGGAGCATTGATGTGGGTTGTGTTTAAATGCCATTGGAAAATAAACACAATTATTTGTAAGCTTTTTAGTTCAATACAATTTGAAAAGACTTACTTATTGACAAAAAACTGGCTTAACGGCCCCTTTAACTTATTTAAAACACGTATTTTAATTTTAGCGAGTATTATTTAGTGAGGTTACAGAATTTTTCTAGAAGTACTTTACAAATCCTTGATATTTCATACATCTTAAACAAATGTAGCTATAGTTTCACCAAATGAAAGTCAATATTCGTGTTAACAGAATAATTTTTTATATATAAGTAATCGAAAGAAAATTAAATAAAACTCTGCTTCTTAGGGAAAATGTAGGTTCTAAGTTTTGTGAAGATAAAATATAAATATTTCTTATAGTGGTTTAACTACTACAATTATTAATAATTTACTGTCCAACATCGATACAATGCTATATTTTATGATAATATAAGCATGAAATAGGGTTTCTTTAGACTGTGTTTAATACTTTTATAGACAATATCTGTACAAGATCTTCTTTAGATATTTATGACTGAAATCTGTACAAAATCTGTATAAGATACAGTATCCGTGTCACTATATTTTTAATGGGCTAGTATATCAACGTAAACAAGATGAAAGCATTTACTTCAAATTGGTAAGAAATGTCTCTTGCATGTACTTTGTGAATGACAACTTTCTTAAGAAACATGTAACATCATCTTAAGGATATTTTAAATAGCATCCTAACAATTCCCTAAGCGTCCTTTATTCGCATAATTTCCCATTAAATGTAAACTTGATAAAAGGTTTTCTACCGTAAGTGAAATTGAATTATGATTATTAAAATTTTCTCTGACTTAAAATTTGGGCGGCATTAATAATGTATAGTATATAATGGGTAGCCATTAGTGTCATGTTAACAAATCGTCAGGTACGTTTGCGAACTGTAGATTTACGACTTACTTTACGTGATTGTATTATAGCATTATGCTTATTTGTTCTCATTATGCAAACTTCTGGGAATATATACGACAATTAGATGATTAAATATCGTAATTACAGGACCATTCTAGATTAAAATTAGTCACATGCATACGGAGTTTCTAAAATTAACAAAGATTTATACTTGTGAAATAAACTAATTGAAATTTGTTATCTAAATATAAATAATGATTCAATTCAATCCAATATTTTATTTGGAATTAAACTACATATAGCATATGTAGGGTGATATAAATGTTGCTAAGAATCATTGCGGGATAGCACTGATCAACATAATAGCCAATATACATGTAGATATACAAATTTTATTGAATCGCTTGACTAAATTGTCAATTTAAAGGGAAATTCTATTACGGACTGTATCTTTACATTACACGCCATCATTTCTAAGGTAAATAATTTCAAGCTAAAATCTCTACTGTAATTTTATCGATTACAGGCTGTGTTTCAATAAAATTGACAGGGAATATTTGTGGCAAAAATTAGCAATGAAAATCTACATGTAAGAAGTAAATTTGTTATGGTGTTAAGATCAATGTTACCTTAAGTTTCAAATGTTTAGTTGTGTTTTGTGTTGTGTTTTGTTTTTTGTTGTTTTTTGTTCAAACACAGATATATGTACTCATATTCCATTCACAAAATATGTATAACAAAATGAAGCTCTCATATATGCTCAAAAAAGGCCCCCATTGGAATTATTTGAGGATGGCAATATAATATGTAATATGTCAGTCATGCCCTTAGCATCGACTCAAGAAGAACTCTGCATTTTAAATGATTGGATAGTTCCAAACCAAAAGCTGATAAATCCGTGAAAATATTTAACGTATTTTTAGTGTCAGCGTAAATGTCACCTAAAAGACCAAAACCTTGACGCAATTCGTTGCTATGAAAAATTGAACGGATGTAGTATTTTCAATTTTCCCGCGTATGCTATGAAAATTCGACCGGATGTAGTATTTTCCGGCGTATGCGCAATCTGTGTAAGGCAAAAGAAATCACCCTATATAGAAATGGATTTGAAATTCATTGAGATAATTGTTGTAAAAAATTCGGAAATATATTGATTATCAAGAAAACAGATCTACATGTATTGTATATTTCTTGAAATAATTCATATAAAAACTAAAAAGATTCTCCGCATTGCATATGAAAGTTTAGTTAATTATCATTATGAAAAAAAGTCATAACATGTGATATTGCATGTTAATAAACTTGTTTTTAGTATTCCGTTTGCTTTCTCGACTTTTATTCCGTCACATTTATTTTTACGTAATTTTATGAAATCCTTAAAAGTTAAGAACATTTCCCAGATGGGAAGCGAAGAGCACATTTTATCCAGTTATCGTAACACATTTTTCAAAATCTAGGTAAACGCATTCACACAATTTCTGACTTCACATAATTCATTTGAAACATTGATAAGATAGGGTTATGTTAATGTTATTCAATTAAGATAATCATAATTGTACGTTATAAGAATATCATGGTACTAAACATACCGGTTGAATGATATTGTAAACTAGCTGGGAAAATAACCAACCGGTCACGTGTCAATCTGTTTGACCCTACCGCCTAGGCAATCCACATAATCAAGAGATCGTACGTTATCATTGTAATCATATGTTATACAGTGTTTATTAAATTTTTGTCTTTAACATCCTGCTGTTTTAATTCAAATTACTGATGTGATAAAAAGTCGTCTAATGATACTTTTAAAAGAGGACTTTTTTCATTGCTTTTTGATCATTGAGATAT